AAGTGACCACAAGTGAAAATTCTGAGTCCTCACTTCAATCCTCGACAAGAATATTCTTGAGGAGATTTACCCTTCTTCTTCAACGTAGGACAACCTTTCTTCCATTGTCTTTCTCATGGCAAAGAACACACTCATCTTTTTCAAGTTTGGCCTTGGAATGTGATCTTTCTCGTCTATTCTTCTTTTGGCTCTTCGACCGACCTCTTACAACTGACGCTTCATCTTCTGTTGCAAGAGGTCGGTCTTCATCTTCTGTTGCTTCATTTTTTGTCTCTTGTTTGTTCTTCTTCCTCAACTCATAGTTATACAGGGTCTGACCACTGCAAGAGTAACTTGTCCTTCCCATGGAGCAGGGTAGTTTATAAGTGCTCGAAGTCATTCGGAAGTGATGATAACAACATTAAAGCTAAATCTTCATCGTTGAATGTGACGTCCAAGTTCAACAAATCTGCAACCAACTGATTGAATGTAGTAACATGGTCATTCATTGATGTGCCATGCCGGTACTCAAATCGGAACAATCATTTTTTCATGAGGAGCTAATTCTGGGCGCTTTCTTTCATAAATTTATCCTCCAAAGCCTTCCACAGAGTGTAGGCATAGTTCTCATTCTTAAACGCGTACTTCTGCTCCATCGACAAACACGAACGGATTGTTCAACATGCTGAGCAGTGGATATTCTTCCAGTCCTTCTCATCAACGTCGGTTGGCTTCTCTTCTTCAATGGCAATGTCGACGCCTTGATGAAATAGACAATTCAGTACCTCACCTTGTGATGTAGGAAAGCGTACGAATGGGAAGGATAAAACGAGTAAACGAGATACTCTCTCGTAAAACACGTAAAACTCACGATATCAGATTTATTCTCAAAATCCACTCCTAAATAACAAATAAGAGAGGTCTTTAAATAAGACACCCAAACCCTAAAATCTATTTTGTCCACCAAGTCACTAAATATAAATAATAATAATAATAATAATAATAATAATAATAATAATAATAATAATAATAATAATAATAATAATAATAATAATAATAATAATAATATTCTGCATCATTCTCCTCTGGTTGAGCAGGATTCGCCCTCGAATCCGACACGTTCCCATGGGAGTAGCCCCGACATTTCCCTCGATCGAACACGAATGTTGAAGGTCTTCTAACAACCTCGAACGTAAATTCGCTGCCAACATCACTTTGTACAAGCCCAATTTCAGTAGCTAGTTCACAGGCCCAAAATTCGCAGGTGGGCTGGTACTGTTGAGGCCCAAAATATGGATTAAATCCATCTCTCACTTGGGACCAATAAATGAAAGTGGGTCGTCTCCGCACAGGCCCAATATTGAGAAACAAATCTTGATCACCATTCCAGCTTTCTCTACAACCACGCTGCATCGCTGCAACTCCGGTGTCGGTCCAGCGCCAGTCCCAGCCAGGGAAATCAGGTCATTCCTCAGCGGCGCGTCGGTCGTCAAATGCCCAGGCCGCTGTAAGACCCCCCTCGGGCCTCTGCTGTTCTCGTTGCCAAAAATCGCCTAGGGTTTGTGCCTCCGGCCTGGCGGGTGCGACCATGGTAGTCGCTGGCGTCCTCCGCGACGCGACGTCCATCGCGACCCCAACCTGCCTCAGTATGCCCAACATTTCTCCCTTTCTCCGCGAAAAAATGCAATTCGTTGAAAACAGGCACATTCATATGTCGTCGGGATGCGCCGCCGTAGCCGGCAGCCTCGTACCCGTCGTCCCAATGGCGGCGCGACAGTTCGAATCCAGTGAAGGATGAGTCCTCTCGATCGGGCCCCTGTCTGCGAAAATCACGATGCTGGTTGAAGCCTGAAGCAGTTCGCCTGAAAACGCCATCTAGGATTGCGCGACTAGCCCAAAATGGGTAGTCAAAACCCTCCTCAGACTGCTGTTGACTGAAAAATTGTACAACACCTAGGGTTTTCTAGTGGTCGCGCTCGCCACCATGTCCGAAACTACCTCCAGCCCGCAACTGCTCGCGAATTCGGGACTGACCAAGGGTGTCGGCTCCTTGCCATGGTGGTCGATCTGTAAACGGGTTAGCTGACCCGGTAGAGTCGCCAACGCCGCTTCTGTTAAGAGGTGGCTGGGATCGCTGTCGGGGCGCCCCGACATGATTGCTTCCCCCACGATAGTCACGGCCTCCATCACGGTCCTTCTGTCATTCCGTAACAACCACGTTGTTCGGCGTCAAACGCACATCCTCGATCCATGTCGAAAGATCTACAAACCAATTCGTGAAACGCGCGTCCAACTCTTCAAATCGGTAGTCAATCTGTTGAAACCGATCGTTGAAGATTGCATCACGTTGTTAGTTTGCAGCATCTTCTCGTCTCGGCGACATCGCAAATCGTACTGACTGCTAATACCAACTAATATAGAGAATGCGTACGAATGGGAAGGATAAAACGAGATACTCTCTCGATAAAACACAAAACTCAAATATCAGAAATCTTCTTCAAATTCAATCATCTCATAACAAAGCAGAAGAGCCCTTTAAATAAGGCTCTAACCCTAGACATTAACTTGCCCAACAAGACAAGATCTCTTGCTAATATTAAACAATAATATTAAATCCTAACTTATTCTCTAAGACACCTGTTAGATGATGATAATAATAATAATAATAATAATAATAATAATAATAATAATAATAAATAATAATAATAATAATAATACTAAATACTAATCTACACCACCTTGCCACATGCCAAAATGACCGGTATCATAGAAGATCTCCACCGGGAGTCTGACGATCGACATCACCGTCCTTACCGAAATGAGTGCAGAGGATGATGCGCTCTTGACCTCCTTTGACATCTTGAACTCGAATACAGTGTTGTCCTCACCGAATAAGTCTAGGACAAACTTTTGGCTCTGATACCACTTGTTGAGATAGAACAATTGGCGCAACGGAAAAATACCCCTACAACAAATATGACAAACACTATTGTTAACGAAAATAATCCAACACAAATAAATAAAATACGAGAAAGAAAATGAATACACAATAATTAATAACGGAGTTCGGCCATCATTGCCTACTTCTCCGGGCACCACCAACTGCAATGCCAAATTTACTAAACTCACCAACAAAATACAACTAGAGTTCAATAACCCACAAATTAGAATTTTCTTAATTAAGGATTTGTTTCTAAGATAGGAGATAATAGAATAAGGTGCAATTGTAACTCAAAGCAAGAGACATATTCATACTAAAAATATCCTACACATCTTTGGTACATATCTGATGTGGAAATAAATTAATCAAAATTCAACAACACACTCACAAGAGAGAGAGAGAGAGAGAGAGAGAGAGAGAGAGAGCATACGAGATGTCCAGCTTTTCTAAAACTCTAACAGGAACCATCGTCGTAGTTGCGTGAGTAGAGAAACTCCAACAGGAGCTCCAAGGGAAAGCTCTACCGTTGACAAAGGCCGAAATCGGATTAGTCGACCGTTGACAAAGGCCGAAATCGGATTAGTGCCTTCGACGAACGACGTGCGGGGGCCAAATTACTCCCTCTCCTCTTACTATTGAAAGTCCCTTCATAATGGCACATGTATTTATCTCTATCTGCCTAGGGGTGAGCAAAACCGAGCCGAAACCGAAAAAGCGAACCGAACCGAGCGATTCAGTGCGGTTTTTTACGAGCTCGGTTAACAGTGCGGTTTGGATTTTAGAAAACCGGTGCGGTTCGGTTTCTGTCTGAAATGTGCGGTTTTAACCGAACCGCACTGCATATTAAAAAAGTGTCATTTTAGTTTTACCACTTTTACATATATAGTGTATGCAGGTTGCACTTTTAAAACATAAAAAAAAAAAAAAAAACTTTGAGTGTTGGACTTATTGTGGTTGTTTTTATTTTTGATTTTGTAATGACATAATCATAATGGGATGATGTTTGTATTTTTTTTTAGTATTCTTTTTAATTTGCGGTTAACCGAAAAACCGTACCGCACCGAACCGAACATTTCGATTCAGTTTGGTTAGATTTTTTTTTTCTTGCGGTGCGGTTAAGAAATTTCAGAAAATCGGTTTTATGTTTTTTTGTGCCTCTCTCAATTTCTCACGATGAACCACGATGAGCTGGCTTGCACTTAGTACTCTCAAATTAATTTTCCTTCACTAGCACTTACGGCCAATTTTTAAGATCTGCCATGAAACTATGATTTTTTCCACCAGAGAAAATTGAAGAGAAAAAATGAGACTCATTTCATTAGAAATATTCATTCATTATATATTTCAGGATATTTACGTAATATCAGCCC